TTGTTAATTTTACTTGTTAAAAAAACTCATTTTTAAGAAAATATGATATATAATACTTAGTGTAGCATAATACTTAGGAAATAACAGTCTGGCAAGAAGAATAAGATAAATCTCAAAATCCTGCTATCCTTTGTAACTGTTGCTCATATCAGCATTTATGTGCTTCTGTGCTGGGTCACTCACAGCTTCAAGTAAAATCATGGTGGATTTAATAGGTATCTAGCAAGTACAGAAAAACAGGGAATCAGAAAATGCCCATTAAGTAGTTTGAATCCAGCTCTACTCTCCACTCATAATAGCAAAAAAAGAAAGAAAAGAAAAAAAAATGTTAAAAGAGTAGTTTTGAAAAGCAAATAAGGCGAACATGGTGAAATACTATTTTCATCTGTTGATTCATTCATCCCTGGCTCATCTACTGATGTTAAGTCTTCAGTTTCTAATTCCAAGAGCACTTTTCTTTCACCTCCTCAAAGTTTCTCTTGTTCTTTAAAAAGTCTTTGAATATTTGGAGTTAATTTTCAGAATGTTATGAAGGAAAATCCAGAATGTGTATGGAAAAGTAGTGGTCAGACTGATGAAAATCTAAGCATAGAAGCAACTACACTTCCATCTGAGAGCAGTAGTTGGGTATTGAGGAAGGAGCATCTCGGGGCGGGGGTGGGGGGGAGGGTTGTAAGCAGGTCTTTTCCCTCAATGTTGTTCCCTGGTACTTCCATCATTAAGGTTTACAGGAAGAGAGCACCCATTAGAGTGTGTGCTGTATTAAGAGTGTGTAAATGATGTAGGGCATGAATACAGTGGTCAAGGCCCTAAATTTTTTTATATGTGCTATCTCAGATTCGTGGTTCGTGGATGAAACCAAGACTGGTGACTAAAAGAAAGTGATTATCCTTTTGTGTATCCATTATATTGCTTTATAAACTATTTTTTCCTCCACTTAATATGTTAGCAATATTTCATCATGGCAGCTACGCTTTTGTACATAATTTTAGTTGCTGAATTCCCTTTCATCAAACGAATAGACTAATTTATTTAAAAGATTGTTGTACAATTCCACTGTTACATACGTTTTTCAATATTTTAAACAGGACTTCACTATGCACCTTGCTACTCTTATTCAGTTTGTTTCTTAGGAAAAAGCATCTTGAGGTCTGATGGGTCAGCTAAACAGGCAAAACAAATCATTTTCTAATTTGCCTTTCTTGCCCTAATTCCTTCTTATGTGTGAGGCTGAATATAATTTTAATTGGCCACATAGTTATTCTTTTGTGAATTTTCTGTAGTAGTCCTTTGCCCATTTTTGTTAGATTATTCATTTTTAGGGGAACTCTTTGCATGTTAAGAATATTAACCCCTTTTATCACTAGTTTGTCATTTGCTTTTTTTGTGTGAGCAGCTTTATTGAGGTATATTGACATACAGTAAACTACAATATTTAAAATGTACATTTTGATAAGTCTAGACATATTTAAGCATGTGTGAGATCATCATCTCAATCAAGATAATGAATATATCCATCATCTCTAAGTTACTTTGTGCTCCTTTGAAATCTCCCTACCTCCTCCTTCCCCCTAGCAATCACTATAAATTAATTTCCATTTTCTAGAATTATGTATTAGTGAGACTGTTTATACCATGTGTCTTTTTTTGTCTGGCTTCTTTCATCCATAATTACTTTGAGATTTATCTCTATTTTAGATTTTATCAATAGTTCATCCTTCATCCTTACAATGAGAATTGTTTCATTTTATGATATATCACACTCTGTTTTTCTGTTACCCCTGTTGATGGGTACAGGAGTTGTACCCAATTTTAAGCCATTAGAAATAAAACTGCTGTGAACATTCATCTACAACTCTTTGTATGAACATGTGCTTTCATTTCTCCTGAGTAAATTCCTGAGAGTAGAAAGGCTACATCTGATTGCAGATGTGTGTTTAACTTAAGAAGCTGCCAGACTGTTTTTAAAGTGGTTATGCCATTTAAACTTTCTACCAGTAGTGTATGCATGTTTCAATATCTCCATACCCTTGCTAAATTTGAAGTGGTCACTGTTTCTAATTTTAGCCCTTTTAATACTGGTGTGCAGTGTCGTTTCATGGTAGTTTGCTTATCTTTAATGACTAATGTTGAGCCACTTTTTCATCTACATATTTGCCATCCATTTATCTTCTTCAGTGAAGTGTCTGTTCATGTTTTTTGCCTATTTTTAAATTAGCGTATTTGTTTTCTAACTATTAAATTTTAAGAATTCGTCTTTCTCCATCTCTAAGTGGTCTAAAGTTCTGCAGGAACAGATAATAGTGGTGCTCTATTGGATACATGATTTGCAAATATTTCTCCCAGTCTTTGTCTTCTAATTCTCTTCTTCACAGTGTTGAGGAACAAATGTTTGAAATTTTGATGAATTTCAAAATTGCCAATTTTTGTCTTATATGTATTTTTGGTTTTATATCTAAGAATCTTTGCCTAATCCAAGCTCACAAAAGTATTCTCCTGTGTGTTCTCTAGAGAAGTCATAGTTTTATGTTTTAGGTTCATTTTGGGTTATTTTTTGTACATGGTGTAAAATATGTATCAAAGTACATTTGCTCACATATGAATATCCATTTGTTCTAACACTATTTAATGAAAAGACTATCTTTTTTATATGGAACCAGCCTTACACTTTGTCCATACATGCTGAGCTCTATTCTGTTCCCTTGATCTATTTGTTATCTTTGTGCCAATAACAAAGTGTCTTGATTACTGCACTTATCATGAAGTCTTATTATAAACACTTGAAGTCAAATTGCATAAGTCACCCTTTTTTTCCAACTTGTTTTGACTCTTCTAGGTCCTTTGTATTTCCATGTGGATTTTAGAATTTGACAATTTCTTCAAAAGTGACCTGCTGGATTTTGAGTGAGATTACATTAAATGCACGGATCATTTTGGGAGAATTGGCATTTTGACAGTATTGATTATTCTAACCACGAACATAATCTGTCTATTTAGGTTCTTCTTCGGTTTTTTCTCAGCATTGTTTTGTAGTTTTCAGTGTACATGCCTTTCCCATCTTTCATCATATATTTCCCAAAGTATGTTACGGTTTTTATACCATTCTAAATGGTATGTATATTTTAAATTTCAATTGCTGACTCTTTGTTGCTTGTATATAGAAATACAGTTATTTCTATATGCTGATCTTGTATCCTGGAACCTTGTCTAAAGTTGATTATTAGTTCTCGTGACTTATTTTTCTAGATTCCAGTCAGATTTTTTACACAAATGTGGGGCCAGGACCTGAGAGTGAGAACCTCCTTAAGTTTCCTTTCTACTGTTCCACTTCCTTACCATCATCTTAGCTCTCCATAGATGTTTCTGTCTGTAAAGAAAGAAAGTTTTATTTCTTTTATACATTCTGTCCACTTTTTGGTAGTTTCAAGCAGGAGGGAAAATCTGGGACCTTTTACTCTTATTTTGGCCGGAAATAGAAGAACACCATTACCTGTCCTGTGCTTTTTTATTTTGATTATGATAACCTCTTTTTTTATTTTATTTTAATAGAGACTCTTTAAATGTTCACACAGTAAAATCTGTCCATCTTTTATGTTGACAATTCTTAACATTTTCTGACTCAGGCAGTCTTTTGACAAAACAATCTGATAAAAGTTATGGATCTGATTTCCAGAAACATTTACATACACATTCATATTTCTGTATATAACTTCAGTAGCCCACAGAAACCCTGAAGGCTGATCTATTGATTCCCTGTTATGAATCTTGATTGTATCTTCTCATGTTCTGTTTGGAAAAGCCTTCTATTAAAAATTGTATAATTAAGGAAATACTTTGTAAATGATTACTGTATATTTTTCTCCTTGGTATATACAAACAGGAGCTTACAAATTTTTAGATTCCTTTATTTTAAATGACGAAATGAGATAGTGTTTATAAAAGCATTTTAAACACCATAAAGGACAGTATTCATTCTCTTGTCCTTGTCATCATCAGAAGCATTTACTCTTCTGGCCATCTTTTCTAGTCTGAGGAGTTATATCCAAAGAAAGAATTATTTTAAGAAATAATTTGAGGGGCGCCTGGGTGGCTTAGTCGGTTAAGCGTCCGACTTTCGCTTGGGTCATGATCTCGCGATTCGTGGGTTTGAGCCCCGCGTCGGGCTCTGTGCTGACTGCCAGCTGAGAGCCTGGAGCCTATTTCAGAGTCTGTGACTCCCTCTCTCTCTGACCCTCCCCTGCTCACGCTGTCTCTCTCTCTCTCTCTCCTAGAAATAAATAAAACATTAAAAAATAAAATAAAAAAAAATAATTTGAGCTATGAAAGTGTTTATTCACACATGGTCTGTACTGAGGAAAAATGAAACAAAGTAAATAGTTAGTAATAGGAGAATAGGTAAATAATAGTGCTTCATTGGATTAAATGTTGTAAAGAATTTAAAAATTGTAATTATATAGTTATAAATATATAAAAAATGTATTTAAATTGAAAAAAAATTAAATTTTATTCACCGGTTATCTTATATAAAGTGTGCATATATATAAAGGTTAAGAGGGGTATAGAGATATGAAAAGAGTTGTTTTAGGAAGATGGGTTTGTACATAATTATTTTTATTGTTCTTACCTTTCCTTTAGTTCTATTCTATTTTGCCTTTGATTTTTTATATTACATTTTCTATATAGATATATCTAAAGTTAAGCCTCCATTCCAATTTGTTTTTTACCACACCCAGATATTACATGGCCTTCAAGGCTGTTTTATCATACTACCTGGCATAAATTATCTGTGAAATTATAATGTTTCCTTTTTCATGCTTGTATAGTATTGAATAATTTCATAATTTCACATTTTTCGAGTCATGTTGTCTTATTATCACCCAGTTTTTAAAATGCATTATGTAGTTTCTGATCATTTGTTTAATGCTACAGTTTCATGGCTTAATTATTTTATTGTGCTTTTGCTATGATGACTTGAACTAATTATGGATGTATTTTTTCAGTTGCCCAGCAAGAGAATGAAATGTTGAAACATAGCAATGGAACATTTCCATTACCTGGAATACACCAAAGCCAAGATGTTTCATGCACCTGTCCTAAGCTGCCTCATCAAGGCTCTTTTCAGATAGATGACTACGTCCACACTGACAATTCTTCAATGAAGATGCAGCAAGTGAAACAGAGACTCAATTCTGTCACAGTATGTCTGATGATTTTATGCAATTGAGAAGTTGAAAATTTTAAAAAACCATTTTGATTCTGTTTTATATTGCCGTGCCAATAAATATTAATTCGAAAAAGTAAGTTGGTTACTTAAAAATAGGCTTTCTAATGCTTTTATGGTTGCTTTCTGGTATTTGTTCTAACATCATCCACTGCAGTAAACAGACTGCTATGGGAATACCTATCATGCTTTCCCAACTTGATATTTCTATAAAGACCAGTCCGAGACCTCTTTTGCTATTTAAAAATGAAAGTGTGTGTATGTGTGCATATATACAACACACACAGACAAAACAAGCACCAACCTGCCTGGGAAATCATTCACATAAAGTATATTAAAGGTACAACTTCCTTAATATGCAAAAGTTAAATAAATAATAAAGAAAAATAGACGTGAACAAAGAAATGTATAAAAGAAATAAGCAGGAACTTCCAAAAAGAATAGATACAGATGTTGCGGAAGCATATTTAAAAGGACTATTCTCTCACTACAAGAAAAGTGCCATTAAAATTAAGTATGGCCAATAAAGTGAAAATAGGTCATGAAAATGAGGAGGAGGATGCTTAATTAAAAATAGTGTGCTTTTTTATTCTCTTGGTTATAAATTACTACATAAACTTTCTCAAAGATAAGTAATAAAATGTTTTGGGAAGCTTAAATATCCTTAAAAATGTTTGTGCCCTTTGAACGTAATAGGTCCTTTAGTTAGAATTAACCTTGAGCTCCTTGAAGACCGGGACTGTGCAGATTTGTTCCTTGTTGTGTTCTCACCTTTTGGCACAGTGCCTGGAACTTAATAAATATGATCCCTTTCTCTCCTCCATTGATAGGAATCTTGACCAGTTTTAAACCAAACATATGAGGAACTGTATTGAGATACCTTTAGTTATGACTATACTTACTTCCTCTCTAGTTTTCTTTCTTTAGAAAATTGGAGTTTCAGGTATACCAGAATACAGGTTTCGTTGGAATATGGGGGAAATATTTTTATTTTTCTCAGTATAAATTTTAGAATATGTACAATAAATTAATACATTTATTTCAAAGTGGTAATTCTGTGTATTTTAACATTTTGATTGAGTAATGTATGATGTTCCAGATTTTAAAAGGAAGTATAAATAGATAAATTGAGTTTTAAAAATTAGAGAAAAATGTTTCTTCACTAGGGGAAAAAAGTGTCCCTTGTGTAAATTCTTACATGGCAAAATGACTTCACAGATTTAAGAGCAACTAACTCACTGACAAATACAAAAAGTTTCCTACAATCTGTTGATTTTTATACTGTGGAATGTAATGTGCTGGAATCACATTAGTCCTGTAGCTTGTCTTTTCTGTCATCTTATATAGGTGTCATCTTCAGATAAATGAAAGGAGGTAAGAACAAAAGAAAGGATAGGTGTAAAGGAAAATTCTGAGAAGTATTTTTAAGATATGAAATCAAAAGCAAGGGGGAAGCAGATTGGTAATTTATTATAAGATAAAAATTTGTTTCTCATAATCATTTATTTTTTTTAATTAGAGTATTTGTTTGCATTGAGATTGAGGTAGATCAAGGCTGTCTTTAGAAATGAAAACCTTGTATAAAATGGCTGTGGTTTTTGAAAAGCCATATTTTTCCCATGTTGAAAGAATTCACTGAACTCTTTCAGAATATATATAAATGTGTATGGGAATAAAAACAAAATGTCCTCTGCACTCCCTTGGCAGCTCTATTCTTTATGTATTTTGCAAACATTTAGATTGACTGGATTGTTACCTTTTGTCGCATCTCCTTTTTCTTGTTTCCTGTAATTTATTTTGGTAGAGCTCAATTTTTTGTTGTTAGGTTATTACTTAATCCATTGAAGATTCTAACAGTGGTCTTCTATAGAGAAGTGTAATAGAGAAGACATGATTACTTCTATATTATAGAAGACTGTATTACTGGAGATACTTCTTTCTTTGTAAGCACAGTAGGATTTTTTAAAATAAAATTTATGGGGTGTGTGTGTATGTGTGTGTGTGTGTGTGTGTGTGTGTGTGTGAATTGCATAACCATTCCAGTTCAGCAGGTGTTTACTCATTAATGAATAAAGGAAACAAAAATAGATGATTCTCTGTTCTCCATAGCCTTACCACTTAGTCATTTAGCTCTTTGCTATGTAACAGATTTGACTGTATTTGCAACTACAGCAGTACCTGAAAGGCACACTGCAGCCCAGACAGATCTCTTAGGTAGACAGTACCTTACGAGCATTCACAAAACTCATTCTGTTTTTAAAATTTGATCTTAACAGTACATCCAAACTTGCTCAGAGTCTGGGGTACCTCCTTGGAGTGATCAGTTAACAAGAATTTGATTTATGAACTTAAAAAACATCTTATAGTGAAAGGTATACCTTTCTAGGCACCTGAACACTCAAGACCACTCTCCCTTTTTAAAATTAGTCTAAACCCAGGTTAATCATGACAGAGTTAATTATTAGCAGAGTCATAGAAATAAGGATTAGATAGATTTAAAAATGTTCTATGCCAGCTTTGCAAAATGTTAATTTTCTCTACCCTATAGGAAATTTCAACTAATAATGATTGGTGATAACTAACATCTATTTAATTATGAGTAATGACTAACATAACAAATTCCTGTGCTGAATGCTTTACTTTTTCATTGTATTTAATCCTTAAAACCATCCTATAGTGTAATTGCTAGTATTATCCCCATTTTACAGAAGGTGAAGTTTAGGCTTACAGAGCTCAAGCGGTATCACTAGTGTCACACAGATGGCAAGTGCTGGGGCTGCGATTCAGTCCAGGCAGTCAGAATCTCATGCCCAGGCAATGTCATTTTCTCCTTTTAGTGATTAAATTACCAATACCCTTTAGACATAGTGTCTGTCCGTGAGAAATTTATGGATAGAAAATTGATTTTCCTCTTTTAGTTCTCTTTTTTCCTAAACTCTACATTCATCGTTACTGTTTTTTTCTCTAGTTCTCTTGTAGGCTGATGACACATGCAGGCTAGCCTTAATTGGACTTGGATATTTTTTGTCTCCATAGCAACACATTTTCAAATCATTCATTTTACTAGTTTCTTTTTCAAAGTGACCTTTCCTTCCCTTCCCTTGTCCCATGAACTGTAGGCAGTTCCTTTCTATAGCTCCTTCAATACTGATAACATACTTTGGCATATAGTAGCATTTATTACTAGATTTTCTCTGAAGTAAATTATTAATGTGGGAATTATATTTGTGGGAATTGACATTTGTAGAGATAATTCTATACTGTTATTCTGGGTGTGTCTTCGAGACATGTTAGTGCTCTGGTGTAGAATTTTAGCATTTACCAGCCTATTATTATTTGGTTTATTGTTTACCAAGTTTCTTGAGGCCAAACAGTTTTCTTGAGGCAGATACGTTTGGGCCCTCCAAAGTCTTATTCTCCATGCCTTTTGTTTTGGCGGGTTAGATTTACCAAGAACTCTTCAGGTCTCTTTTTTTTATTTCACACTCTTTCCAGTGCCTTGGAAACAATGCAGAGTGACAGCTGCAGGGTGATAGACAAAGCAGCTCTCCCAGATGTTGGTTTTGGTTACTAAAAGATTAATATCAGAATGTGTTAAAAAGAGTTGATAATTTTATTCAAATAAAATTATGAATATTTCCTTACTTATTGTATTGTATTTCTTTCAGGAGGTGATCCGAGCCTGTGCTGCAAAGGTAAGTAGTTTTTATCAGGAGGAAGATAACTTTAGGATTGTAGCTTTCATTGTGATGTAACAAAGGATTGAAATGTACCATTCAGAGTTTTTAATAGAACTTTTACAAAAGTTAGTCAGATGTGGATTTTCCGTATTCGAGCTCAAATTTATCAAGGAATTATATACAGGAATCTGAGACTTGAACAAGTACCTTCATATTTTTGAAGATTGAAGAATATTAAGTGATTGGAGTGTACTTTCAATAAAGGACCAGCAAGGTCATTTGCCCCTGAGAAAAATATTATGTGATACTTAATAGGTAAGAGACACTGGTACAGTTCCAGTGGACATATGCTGAGTAAACTGTGTAAGCCATGAAATGCATGCAAGCTGGGTGTAAATAGCAATGGTACACTGTGTGCTTATGATGCTCTTGATTGATCATTTATTTATACCAGTGTTTCACACTTCTTTTTCCATTTAGCTGCATAGAAATCCTGAGAGGCAGATTAGATATTATTGTTATTCTAATTTTAGAAAGGATGAAGCTGAGGCTTGTTGAAGTTAAGTGATTTTCTCAAGACCCCAAAGTTAGTGTAAAAATAGCATACAAAAAGGCTTTTGGGGGCACCTGGGTGGCTCAGTCAGTTAAGCATCTGACTTCAGCTCAGGTCCTGATCTCACAGTTTGTGGGTTTGAGCCCCGCATCACGCTCTGTGCTGACAGCCAGCCCAGAGCCTGGAGCCTGTTTCAGATTCTGTGTCTCCCTCTCTCTCTGACCCTGCCCTGCTCATACTGTCTCTCTTTCTCTCACTTTCAGAAATAAATAAAACATTTAAAATTTTTTTAAAAAAGGCTTTTGATTATTAAACAGTTTCAACTAGATTGTATCCAGGATGCTTCCAACACAGCAGCTTTCTCTTTTACAAGCAAAGCCATTTTATATACAGTCTTTAACCCAGTTGTCAGGAAAATAAATTTTTTAATTTAAAAAAGTGGAATGGCACCCCCTGTTTGTCCTCCCCTCCTCTCTGTCCCAAAATTCAGTTGAATAATTAGACATTCATTCATTTATCAAATGTAATTATATCTGTCACAAAGTGTAAGTGTCAGACACTCAGAAGAGAATTAGAATGTTGTTAGTATGTTCAAAGACGGCTTTATGTCGTATCAGTGGAGTGGAAGTGTTTTTTTAATTCAGTAAGCATATACTACCATGTGACAGGCCTTGGAATACAGAAGTAGATGCTAGGCTATTTCTTTTCCCATGAGGCATCTTATGGAGGAAATATGTGAGAAAACACTGTACTTACCCATCACTGAACTGTCCAGTATCAGTGAGGGCCCATCACTTTTTTACCTAATTATCACAAGTCAGCAGAATATGGAATATAGACAAGGGGAAGGAAGATGAGGGGGAAGAAGAGAACAAGCTATATTCTGACTTGGGCTGCAGATGTTCAGGAAACTTGTTCCTGATAGCAGTGATTAGTATAATGATTATAGCTCCAAGATTACTAAATCTTCTTAAGTATATATAGTATATAAAACTGAAGTCAAAAAAATAATTTTCTGGCTGCAATTCAGAGCTTTTTCTCTTTAATAAATAAATATATATGCTTCCTTTGTAAAGCAGTCTGAATGCCCAAGTAGTAAAGTATTCTGTGCACATTTGGCAAGAGTTACGGAAACTGTCGTCTGCTAATCTGGAACCTCTCTGCAGATGAAGGATCTTGTTATATTCATCTTTGTACCTCAAGCATTTAGCATAAGTAAAATAAATGCTCATTGAAAATATGATGAAGTACTTAGAAATTAAGTATTTAGAAAGATTAACCTTACTAGTGTCTTTAGTTATTCTTTTTTATTTAATAGGTTGTATTGAGAGGTAATTCACATACCATAATACTTGCCCTTTTGAAGTATGCAGTGTACTGGGTTTTACATTATTCACAGCTGTGCAAGCATCACCATTACCTGATTTTCAAACTTTTTTATTCCCTCCAAAAAGAAATCCTGTTTCTCTTAGCAGTCATTATGTCTGTAGGCATATGCACATGTACACACCCACACCCAAACTCCTGGTAACTAACCACTAATACACTTTCTGTCTCTGTAGGTTTTCCTGTTCTGGACATTTTATATAAATCGAATCAAATAATATGTGGTCATTTATAACTTGCTTCTCTTACTTAGAATAATGTTTTCACAGTTCCTCCATTTGTAGCATGTTATCAGTACTACTTTGTACTGCCAAATAAGATTCTGTTATACAGATATTTTACATTTTGTTTACCCATTCATCAGTTTATAGACTTGTGGGCTGTTTCCATTTGGGGGCTGTTATAAATAATGCTACTACGATCATGTGTGTACAAGTTTTTGTGTAGGCATATGTTTTCATTTCTCGAGGTATATAGGAGTGGAATTGTTGGGTCATATGACAACTCTGCATTTAATATTTTGTGCAACTACTAAGCTTACCCAAAGTGGCTGCACTATTTTAGAATCCTGTGTGGTAATTCTATATATTTAACACTTTTCCAAAGTGGCTGTCCCATTTTATATTCCCACCAGGAATGTATAAAGGTTTCAGTTTCTCCTCATTCTTACCAACACTTGTTATTTTCTGTCTTTTTTAGAATAGCCATCCTAGTTGGTGAGAAGTGGTATCCCATTGTAGCTTTTGATTTGCATTTCCCTAATGACTAGTGACATTGAACATTTTTGATGTGCCATTTGTATATCTTGCTTGGAGAAGTGTCTGTTCAAATTATTTGCCCATTAAAAACAAATTTTTGTCTTTTTAATGTGCACTTTCAAGTTCTTGATACAAATCTCTTATTAGATAGATGATTTGCAAATGTTTTATCCCACTTTATGAGTTGTCTTCCCACTTTCTTGATGATGGCCTTTAAACCAAGAAGGTCTTAAGTCTTAGGAAGTTCAGTTTATCTATTTTTTCTTTTGTCACTTTGCTTCTGGTGTCATATCTAATAAGCCACTGCCTAACTCTACATGCCAAAGATGTACTTCTTTTTAAGATTTTAATATTTTTAACTCTAACATTTAGGTTTGTGATTATTCTAAGTTCTTTTTTTATGCGTATAATGCTGTGCAGAGGTATAACTTTATCCCATTGCATGTGGCCACCTAGTTGTCTCTGCACCCACTGTTGAAAACGCTGTTCGTGCCCCATTGAGTGATCTGGGTGCCATTGTCAAAAGTCTGTAGTCTTAAACGCAGAGTATATTTCTGCAGTTTCTCATTTATTACAACCAGGATAGTAAATTTTTGCCAGGTATCTAAGTTTTTTCTTCCCTAAATCTCATCCGCATTTTTATGTTGTTGAAGATTCATTTCTTTTTTCGATTCACATGCTTTAAACCTTGCCTATCAAGTATTGTGTGTGTGTGTGTGTGTGTGTGTGTGCGTGTGTGCATGCACGCGCAAGGTGCTTAGGTTATAACAGTGAATAGGCACATTTTGTGATGGGGAGATAAACAGGAAAAAAAGGAAATAAGATAATTTCAGACAATAAGTGATGTGACAATAAAAGTAGACCCCAGAGACAGAGAATGACTGGCAGGGAATGCTGCCTTCAACATGCAGTCATCAAAGGCCTCTCAGAGAGAAACACTTGACAAGGAGCTAGTCGTGTCCTGTAGAAGTCCTCATCTGGAAATGTAACTGGCAGAAAGAAGAGCACTGTGTGTAAGTAGTAATCGTGAGCAAGCAAGGAGAAACGGTGTTTCATGATGAGGTTGGAGAAGTGAACAGGAGGTCACACATGCCTTTTTAAATGTCTGTAAGCATAGTAATGCAGGGGAGGAATCATTTCTCTTTTGTCCTTCTAGGTTCTGTCCTTCTAGGTCTGATGGTTAAATTGACATATGAAAGACTAATAAAAGAAAAAATTTTGCACATATGGGAGCCCCACAAAGATATGAGACTCCAAAGCTGCCAGGCAGTTGAGGCTTTTATAAACCGTTAGTGGAGGAAAGGGAGGCATAGGGGTCTAGGGCTCCAAAGTGGGAAGGCAGCCGTCCCCAGGAAAGTGAGAGGAGCACCTGTGAGGCGAACAAAGGCTGCCCTGCCACACAGGTCAGTCCCTCCAGTGAAAAAGTTCTCTCTGGGCCGAGCTCTCTTCCTAGCAAAGGCCTCCTTTCTAAAGTATGTTTCCCTCATTGTAGGGTACCTTCTATACCTGTTTTCAGAGCTTCTCCATTGTCTGCAGTTTCTTAAAATAATCCTTATGCCAAAGAGGCATATTCGAGGGTGACATAATCTGCTAAACCTTCAGTAAGGACTTAGGTATTGTTTTAATCAGAGAAGCTGTAATGGAAGCATTAAGCTGGGGAGAATGCGAGAATAGATTTTAAAAGGGGAGTTAAGTCTTCCAAGCAGAGATCAGTTAGCTGACTTTTACAGTTATCCATGAAGAGATGGTAGCCTGGACTAAGGATGGTGTTAAAAGATAAACTGACACCTATTAAAATTTTTAGAGTTTAGGCAAAATTGATTTGAATGGCACAGCACCAAACTAGATGCGGTTAGAAGTGCTTCACTGGCAGGAACTGAGGAAAGACTTTTATAGAGAAAAGGCTGAAGCAAAGCAAGGAAATTGTAGATTGATGATAGTTTAAAGCCTAGTTGGCTGTTTGTGATTGGTTGTCCTTAGGTTTCGATTTTGTAACCTGCAGGTATTTACAGGCCTAGATTGGGCTTTGCTTCCACAGGGTAGAAGGCCAGGCGCCGTGGCATTAGAACTGTGTTAGACTCATGGCCTCCTGTCTTAATTAATTTCACAGTGGCAATAATGAAGTTGCAGGCAGTGGACAGATTTGCGATATGTTTTGGAAGCAGATTTAACACAGCTCAGTGATGGATCGCATGAGGTGTAAGTGAAGGAAAGAGGATTTAGGGATGACTTCTACGTTACTGCTTTCAGCAATTGTACAGATGCTGGTAGTACTTTTCATGAGGTGAGAAATGCTGGCATGGAGAGAGCAGTTTTTA